GCCTACCTTTCAAGTGGCTGCTGTCTTTGCGGCTAGAAAACTGCATAACCACTGAACAGACGTTCTACTCTAGGGCTGTCGGAATCATGAACCGAGTATGCTAACGAAGGTTCAGAGGGACTTTAGAGGCCTGACATACAGACGAGGCATTTCTAAATCGTTGCATGGCCTCCCGCATGGAGTAGTGGGCCCTATGTATGCACCTCAACCAACGAGGCTGCAGGACATAAGGGAGGCAGACACGCGGATCCGGGCGACAAAAGTAACCTCAGCGATGAACTAGAAATAAACTTCAGTGCCAATACGGGTAATATTTGCACTGCGGTGACTGACAGTCTCCTCCATCCGCCCTGGGGCACTGGTCACATTCGATTTATCACGCCAGGCCGAAGATGAGCAGTTTCAGTAGCAACACCCATCTCCTGCGGCTGTGGACGGAGGACCTTGGTTCAATAGCCATTCACCGTAGACACGAGCACTTTTCGCTACTGTGGGGTGCTGTATCGTCCTATCTTTGAGAGATAGAAGCTTAGTTTCTTTTGATAAGTCGGGGCAGTTGACTTGGTGTTCCGGGGGTCTTATCAGCTAAACGATACGCGGCATTACAATTTACTGACAACCCAGTTAACAATACGGAAACGTGTTACAAAAATTCACTTCTTAAAGTAATTTAAGCTAGCCGCAGTCCTTTTCCCGCTCATCTACTTTAGTCAACGACCAGAAATGGAGGGTAAAAATAAGTGAAGCTCTTCGAAAGGGTTATGCAAAACTCGACCACAGTATAAAACTTGGGACTACCCGCCCACTCTCAGAAAACAACCGTTATCTTCATGTGCAGGCATGGTTTTAGATTTAAAATGCCTCCTACTAGCGGCCTCCAAAAACAACGTTTTAAAATAGTATGATTTTATATTCCTGAATTAGTCCTGGAGCGAGTTCGTGACGGCTTTCCGAAGAATACATGCTAAAGCTTCCTCCGATGATTAAGGCCCTCGTTGACATTTTCAAAAAGGGTACTGCTGTTAGAAAATCTGCTACTGCCTGGAGAGTGAGCGAGAAATGGCCGAGACAAAGTGGTCCACTGGACAAGACCCACTGTCACCGGCAAACGTACCTTCACCCCCCGCCCCCTCCCCCACCCTCATCCTGCTTTTCTCGGGTCGGCCGTCTTAGGCTTTGTTATTCCCACTGTCCCACTGGAATATTTATATCAGTGAGCGAAGACGGGGAAAGCTGCATGCTGACAACTGACGTAGTTGCTGACAGGTCGTTAACGTCTTAATTCTGGGATAACGCCATGTCCTGCCACCAGGACAATATTTATTCAACCATGGGTAACGGTATTTGTAAAATGAATTGCAATGGTAGCGCGCAAGTTTCACCATAAGCATTTTATCTATCGGTAATGGGTACTTCTACGTAGACAGAATGACATTTAATTCAAAAAAACTTTTGCAGACTGCTTACGGTATTTAATGGATATACTCTCATCATAAAGAGGGTGGAATCAGATTAATCTCAAAAATTAACACCACAAAGGCTGAATGGTAAATAAGCGCTAAATATATTGCGAGTCATTTTTTAGGAAGGCGATATAGCCCACAGGACAAGCCTACGTGCTGTCTGACGTTTCCGCCTTTCTGAAGCAAGTCTTTTTTATGACAAAGCGTACGGCGTCGATGCGTTTTTTGGAAGCCTGATTGTCAAAAGCACATTTTCTTCTTTAAAGAAAATGTACTTCCGCCTAGTGGAAGCTTAAACGAAAATATAGAACTGAAATTCAGTGTAAGTGAATGCAAAGCAGATGCATGATGACTTCCTTGACGGAAAATTCCTGAAAATACTTATTTACAAAGTAGGCCATAAACGAGGAAATATTACGGCTTCAGAAGAACTCTGCAGGATACCTGTATAAAATGTGGGACAATAATGGTGGACGGTATTCTGTCTTTTCTACCCACCGTCTTCCGAGAACGACACCGCTGAACATTCTAAAGGCACATAAATTGTGATTCAGCGTCAGCTAGCTACTCTGACTGGGCACTCCTACGTTCTGCGCTGAATCTCCAGTTTACCATATACTGTTTGATAGTTACTACCAAACAGACAGATATATCCAGATAGGGACATTTTTGTTATCATCACCCACTATAATCCTTAAAAGTGAAGGCAAACATCAAGTAAATAAATAGCTCCAGAAATTGCTTAATGCGACTTTAAAATGAAATTTCTCCAGAAACTTTGAGGATGTAAATTTTTTGGACCGAAAGGCTGTAGGCCTTCAGAGTTAATTTGCGACGACCGAAGCAATCGTAAATTTGAGAGTTTGACCGTCGCAGTTGATTACATCCACCGTATGCCTCACGAAGTGTGAGCAACAAGGGTGACCTGCGCGTGAATTAGTTTATGGTGAGGCGGACTTGCGCAGCATCAACCACTCTCTCCTCACTCACTCACCAGGTCCCGATGACGAGACAATACTAGGATATCTGTAGGTAGGCACGGCGGAGTGGCCGACAGCTACACGGTCTGCTTTCGCCTGCCACATACGACCTGGTCCCCGCGCAATATACCTTGCTTTCGAGGAAACAAGGGAGACCGAATCTCACGTTCGTGAATGCCAGAGGTCATTTTATGAAGGAACCAGGAACTCCCAGTTCTCGAGCCAGTCACCACAGACACATGCAGTACTGATTACGAGGACCAGGTTTTCTAGTCAGTTGACAGCCTTCCAAGCCACGATTTTCAGCGTGACGTGGTAGTTTGGAAGCGCGTCTAGTTTGTCATAATGAGAAATGCGCAGAATTGCTGTGGTTACGAGCTCCCCAGAGTCGGCCGCTGACTGTTCAGGCTACTACAGCCCGTCCGAGTGTGCCAAACACGACCTGGTCAGGGACAGAGTTTCGCCAAAGAACATGCTTCTCGCTGAAGTCGGCGGTGATTGGACATGTACATTCATAGTAGCGCGTGTGACCGCTTACACATTTCTCCCTTGGTCTTCCCAACCTCCCCCCCTGTCAATCGAATGCCTGCGCCACTTATTACCCAGCTCACGGCGTGGTGGCGATTTGGCGCCGATCAACATTATTCACTTCATTGATTCGTTGCAGATGGACATGTCTCAGGGGCACGCGCGCATTTTGTGGCGCGGTTAATAACAACGTCCGGTGTGACGTGTTAGCAACCCTTTTTGCCGATGTCTTTGTATCTGCTTGCCCTCTCCCGATCAGCATGGACTGTCACACTAGTTCTGTTTCCCTGACATTTGGTTTGGGAACTCTACTTGTCGACCGGCGCACATAGACAAACAAGACAGGTCCTTCAACGAAGTGTAGGTTCAGATATTCGCTTTGAAAAGCTTAAACTTCAAAGGAACTCTTTCTCTAGAATATCATTTCAAAACAGTTAAATTAAAAATTTATGCGAATGTTACTCGTGTTCTATTTTAAAAGAATTACAGATCTCTTAAAAGTGTTAAAGAATACCTCAACGAACTCAAGAAATACCAGCAAATGAAGTAATCAAAAGACCGAAATTAGATTACAGTTTGCATTATTCGCAAGCAGCCCATCGTAAGACACAGCCTTCAGTAACCTATTATTTCATAAGACTACTTATGCAAACTTAATGGATCCTTTCTCTATCTACAGCAAAATAAACTTATCCAGGGAAGTAAAGTGCAATAGTTCTCCTTGAACATTATAACACGTGTCAGCGGAAATTTAGTTTAGTCTAAAAAGTTTACGGCGGGAATATTACTTGTCAGTCAACTACATGTACTGTTAAGCCACTCTGGATTAAATTACTAGTTTTTGTATTTAAATTAGCTCTCTAGGGTGGGATCACATTAACTCCGCACGCACACATATTGACTCCCCAATAACATTCATTTTGTGCCTCATTTGAGCTAAAATGTGCAGTAATGTAAGGTATGATTACAAGACTTTCATTGATAAATTTCGGAATTTGAGTCCTTCCTCTCCGGAACCTGCTTTCTCTAAAAGTACATGCCATAATAGAACTCAT